TTGGAGTCAGCCTAACTAAAGAGGTAAAGAACATCTACAATGAAAACTACAAAAACGCTACTCCATGAAATAAAAGAGGATATGAGGAAATGAAAACATATCCCCTGCTCATGGATAGAAAGAATCAACATCGTCAAAATGGCAATAATCCCGAAAGCATTATACAGATTCAATGCTATCCTTATAAGGATACTCATGAAATTCTTCGAAGAAATAGATCAAGCACTCCTGAAATTCATACGGAACAACAGATGTCCACGAATAGCTAAAGCAATTCTTGGGAAAAAGACGTGGGGAGGCGTTACCGTCCCCAACCTCAAACTCTATTACAAAGCAGTAATAATTAAAATAGCATGGTACTGGAACAAAGCCAGGGCCGCAGACCAAAGGAACAGGGTGGAATATCCGTACAAACAACCCCAAATGTATAAACATCTAATCTTTGACAAGGGAGCAAGAAATGTGAAGTGGAACAAGGAAAGCCTCTTCAACAAATGGTGCTGGCATAACTGGACAACCAGATTCGAAAAAATGGGCATAGAACTCGACCTAACACCATGCACAAAAGTCAGATCAAAATGGATTAAAGGTCTCAACACCAGGCCAAAATCCATAAGGTACGATGAAAACAAGGTCGGCAAAACCCTCCTCAATCTTGAGGCTAACGGTATCTTCAAAGATGACACTCCACTGACCAACCAAATGGAAACAGAGATAAACAAATGGAACTATCTTAAATTAAGAAGCTTCTGCACCTCAAAAGATACAGTGACCTGAATACAAAGACAATCTACAGAATGGGAAAGGATATTTACCCAATACCCATCTGATAAGCGGTTGATATCAAGGATATACCAAGAACTGATTGAACTCTACAAGAAGAAAAAATCTAACCCCATCAAAAAATGGGGTGATGAAATGAACAGAAACTTTCCCAAAGAAGAAATCTGAATGGCTAAAAGGCACATGAGAAAATTCTCTACATCACTAATCATCAGGGAGATGCAGATCAAAACAACAATGAGATATCATCTCACACCACAGAGACTGGCCCACATCCAAAAGTAAAAAAGCAACCAGTGTTGGTGCAACTGTGGCGAAAAAGGGACTCTCCTACTGGGAATGCTGACTGTTTCAGCCCTTTTGGAACACAGTATGTACAATTCTCAAAAAATTAGAAATTGAGCTGCCATTCGATATGCCAAAACCAGTAACTATAAGTGGTCTCATTCACCTGACCCTGAAGGCTTCACCGACATGGCAGCACTGAGAAGGATGAGAAAGGAGAGGCCGACAAAATCTCAAGGCCGACCTAGGCTGCCACAACAAAGGAAGACAAAAATGATCGTCTGTACTTTCAATGCACGTACGCTAGCATCAGATGCATCCATCGAGGACCTGATGGTACAAGCGCGAATGATCAAGTACGACATCATTGGTCTGACCGAGACAAGAAGGCACGAATCTCACCATGCCGTTTTCGACACTAGAGAAGAATTGTTCCTCGGAACATGCGATAAAAGAGGCATCGGTGTCCTTGTCAACACAAACTTGGCCAAGAGCACTGATTCATTCGAATGCCTAACAACCCGAATCGGACGTTTACATTTGAATAGATGTGACTCACTGCCTGCAGTTTCTATCTTCGTTGTCTATGCACCAACATCTCATTATGATGAAAGAGAAATCGAGAAGTTCTACATAGAGCTAGAGAACTTCTATAAAGAAGACCACACCTTCTACAAGATCATTGTGGGTGATTTTAATGCCAAGATAGGACCGAGAAGATCAGCTGAAGAACTTCACATCGGGACCCATGGCCTAGAATGGAACGAACAGGGTGAGAGACTGTCTGAGTTCATCATGTCGACCAAGACCATCCCTGGTAACTCACAGTTCCAGAAGGCAGAATCTAAACGATAGACATGGGAGTCTCCTAGTAGACGATTCCACAACGAAATAGACCACATCATATTCAACCGACGGTTTTGCCTGACTGATGTCACTGTTGTCCCAAAATTTCGAACGGGATCAGACCACCATCTCCTTTGTGCAAAATTCTACTTCACAGAGTGGGGAGAAAGGGCTGCAAAGTTCAAAAAGAGAACTCCCAGAACGACCACCAAGTGGGAACTCTTTGGCACTATTGCGGCAACATGGGAAGATGCCATTGTTGACAACATTGACGAGGAATACGATCCACTGGTTCAGCACTTCCATGAATGTGCGAGGAAAGCCAAGAGAGAGATAGCCACAAAAAATCCCCTATCATCGAAAACTCTTGAGCTAATTCGCCAGCGTGGTTTGGCGCATGCCTCAGGCAACCGCAAGCTAATGTCCGAGCTCACAAAGCAGTGCAGAGATGCGATCAAGGAAGACCTCAAAGAGAGAAGAGCAGAAGTACTGGTAGATGCGGAAGAAGCCGGGAAAAGTATTCATAACGCCCGCCTGTTCTTCGCCAACTATAAGACCAAGATGACTGCCCTCCGACGTCCTGATGGATCCATCACATCCTCCAGAACAGCAATGGAGAAGATTATCCATGACTTCTACTCAAATCTCTTCGATAGCCATGTCCATTTGCCGACATACCAAATTCCACAGGATGGATATGTCGTTCCCAACGTTCTCCCTTCCGAAATCCGACACGCCATTTCGTCGGTAAAGAAACAAACAGCACCCGGCCCAGACAAGGTCAGACCTGAACACCTGAAGAACCTGCAGTCAGTACTCATCAATACAGTGGCTCGGCTCTTCACTCGCTACCTGTCTGAATGCAAGGTTCCGTCCCAATGGAAAACCAGCAGGACCGTACTACTGTTCAAGAAGGGAGACATCCATGACATTGGCAACTATCGCTCGATCTGCCTATTGTCTGTCATCTACAAGTTGTTCACTCGAGTCATCCTAAATAGGATTGGCAGAACACTAGATGAAGGACAACCATGCGAGCAAGCCAGGTTCCGCAAAGGATTCAGCACCATCGACCATATCCACACAATAACCAAGCTCATTGAGGTTTCTCGGGAGTTCAAGATGCCGCTCTGTTTAATGTTCATTGATTTAAAGAAGGCCTTTGATTCTGTTGAGACAGAAGCAGTCATTGAAGCCCTAGCCAATCAGGGCATTCTAGCCCAATACATCAGGATCCTCCGTGAGCTGTATTGTGGATTCACTACCAGGATCTCACCATTCTACAAAAAAGTGATCGTTGATGTCAAGAGAGGGGTGCGGCAGGGTGATACCATTTCACCGAAACTCTTCAGTGCCACCCTCGAGAACATCATGCGACGACTGGAATGGGAAGGAATGGGAGTGAAGATAGATGGTCGGCAACTACACCACCTCAGCTTTGCTGATGACACTGTTTTAATAACACCAAACATCAGCCAAGCGGCACAAATGCTGGCCGACTTTGACCGTGAGTGTGGAAAGGTAGGACTACAGCTGAATCTTACGAAGACAATGTTTATGAGAAACAGCCTTGTTCCTGATGGCCCATTCGCTCTCAATGGAACGACCATCTCCGAATGCAACAGCTATGTGTACCTAGGTCAAGAGGTCAACATGACAAATGACCTGGCACCCAGCTGCGCAGGAGGAAGAGAGCGGCTTGGAACGCCTTCAAGAACGTGGAAGCAATAGCTAAGAGGACGAAGAACCTCCGGCTCCGGGCACCTCTCTTTGATTCCACTGTTCTTCCTGCATTAACATATGCCTTAGAGACCTGGTCCCTATGCAAACAAGATGAGAACGCTATTCAGGTCTCCCAAAGAAGAATAGAAAGAGCTATGCTTGGAATATCACGTTTCACTCAAATGAGAGAAAGAATCCGGAGTTCTGACATCCATCGACGATCAAGAATCAGGGACGCTGTCTCATTTGCCAAGGTGTCGAAAATCAGATGGGCTGGTCACGTAATGAGATTTAAAGACGACCGCTGGACTAGAGCTGTTACCGACTGGATTCCACGGGATGTCAAAAGACCGCGTGGCCGTCCACCTTCCAGATGGTCAGACTTCTTCGTCAAGATCATGAACGATCGGTTTGAGGCCCTTCATGTTCCCGGAGCGAACAGATGCCATTGGGTTACACTAGCACGCGACAGGGACAAATGGAGACGTTACTGGCGCCCGCTCGAGCAAATTGACGACTAACGGGAAGTTAAGTGATTAAGTGATTAAGTGAGCTGCCATTTGACTCAACAATACAACTCATGGGAAGATATCCCGGCGGTAAAAAAATACAGTCGAAATGACATCTACACTTCTATGTTCATTGCTGCACTATTCATAATAGCCGAAATCTGAAAAAAAAAAAAAACAACCAAGTGCCGAAGAACAGATGACTGGTTAAGGAAACTTTGGTTCATCTACACAATGGAGTACTATACAGCTGTTAGAAAAGATGAAGTTATGAAATTTACATACAAGTGGTACTATATGAGAAGTACCATACTAAGTGAAATGAGTCAGAAAGAGAGGGACAGACATAGAAAGACTGCATTCATTTGGGGAATATAAAGTAACAAAATGGGAGACTAACACCCAAAAATAGCGGAGATAAGTACCAAGAGGTTCACACCATGGCTTCGAGGCCAGCCATACAAGGTAGGGAAAAAGGCAGCTCAGATAGAGAAGGTAGCACCAAATAAAGGGTATTGGGATGATCCTCCCAGGATGAGAAATGCATGCTGAAAGTAGTCTATAGACCAAACATAACTGCCAGTCAATGCCTCTTTTGCAAACCACAGCATTCAATAGGACAGAGAAAACAAAAGGGAATGCCCTGCCACAGGGGTGGTGTGGTGTGGGGGTGGGGGTGTGGGAGGGATACTGGGAGCATCGGAGGTGGAGAATGGGCACTGCCTAAGTACAAAAATATGTAAGTCTACAACTGTTCCTCATGGTGTTTTTCTAATAAAAATTTTTAAAAAGTAATATCTTATTCCTGAATAGAATAAGTCTTATTTTTTTTAACTCTTAAAGATTTATCCTTACCTTCCTTTGTGATGAAGTTAGGGCCTTCTCTTTTGAGCAGTATGCCCAGAAGGATAGCTTGGCTAGCCAGACTATTGCATTCCTAAAAAGACACATTATTATAAATAAAATTAAATGGGTACAAAAGTTACCACAGGGAGTAATAACTAATGTAGAAACTACAAAATGGAGATAGAGTATATCATTGATATGCTATAAGCACATATTATATTACTATCTGTCTAAATGGCTTAAAGACAGAGGCTAGACTAACGGATATACTAATTGTTGGACTAAGATATAATAATCATATTTTCTAGGATATAAGAAATAGAAAATTTGTCATCTCCAAGAATTAATATTAATTATGTTACTCTCTGAGAGATCTGCTAAAATAATTTACCACTTTCTTCTTGATTTGCATCCTATTAATGGGAGATCATACTGTTATCAACTTATTAAAGATATGGAAGGAGAGCACATATGTAGAATTCTTACTACGTTTATGAGAGCATTTTACAATGTGATTTAGCCTACTATGTCATATTCCTATTCTGATGCTTAGAGCATAGTATTGATCAAAAACAAAAACTGATGATGTCTGACAGGTGATATATGCAGCCTACATGCTCAAATTAGTTTGACCCAACCAAATGTCACAGAGTTTATACTTCTACCATTAGAATTGCATTTCCTTGCATAAACAGTATACTTTACCTCATCTCTTCTCTTTGAAAAATAAATGAAGTTAGGGAATATAAAATATTAGATTGCTAACTTAATATGCTTATGGATATGGTCATAGGATTGCTTTCCTCAATGACCAGACATATTTCAAGCAAACAGTAACCTAAATACTGGGGAACAGAAGATGTAAGTTGGAAATTGGAGGAAAAGACCTATGCAAAAGAAATATGAAGACCATAAGGCAATCATCACTGAAGTCTTTAATGGTACATACAGTATCTAAAATAACCCAATTCATCCCTAATCCTTAAACATCTTTAAGACATCCAGGCAAATGTTTGAATACCTCTCATTACTGTCCCAGGTATAAGTCATGTATATTGCCATGACACAGGTTAGTTGTACCCTAAAGATGATGTGTTTTTCCTGGATCACCTCTGTCCCTCTTGGAGAGCCCGGTAAGCTACTGAGAATATCCCGCCCACATGGCAGAGCCAGGCAAGCTACCTGTGGCGTATTCGATATGCCAAAAACAGTAACAATAATGGGTCTTATTCCTCTGACCCTGAAAGAGCCTCCAACATGGCAGTGTTGGGAAAGTTGAGTGGGGAGAGGCTGCTAAAATCTCTAGGCTGGGACGAATGGAGATGTTACTGGTGCCGGCTCATGTAAATCAATGAAAAATGGGATGACAGTGATACAGTGATATTTTTCAGGTCAATTGCAAGGTTTTCTAAGAGGACAAAATAAATAAGGTTTGCCCTAGGAATTTGTGTTTTTTCAACTTAACCCCAGACCACATAAAAATTGTATCTTCCTTACATCAAGTTTTTGAAGAATTTCATGGGTAGATTTGTTTTTCCATTCAGTAACGGCAATATCCAGTTGCTGTTCCAGTTCAGGAGCATCGGGGGTGCTGCTCTGTCGTTTGACTTTTGAGTGTTTGGGAAGACTTAGTTCCTCAAAACTCTTAAATTCTGGAAGCCTAGAAATTAGAAGATAAAGTTTGAGCTTTCTTGCATTTCTAGTGTCATCTCAAGATAGGCAGTAATAACCCAATATAGACTTACTCTTCCACATCACTGATTCGTAGAAAGTCAAGTTGTTCAACTACAGCTCCCGATATCAGTGTCTAAAATGTAATTGAGAAAAATTCACAAGTCTTAAATTCATTGCCATTCTAATTTGTGCTAATACTTTTCTCTGTGTTTGCTGCATATGCCCTATTCTTTGTTCCTTCTCTCCCTATTATGTGAGACTTTTTATCACCAATAAATGGTGAATCTTTACAAAAATTTTCTCTTCATCTAATGATATTTGATTTTTATCTTCTTTTTTGTTGGCTTTTATTTTCACTGTCACTGTCCTCCCGTTGTTCATGGATTTGCTCGAGCGGGCCCAGTAATGTCTCAATTGGAGAGTTTGTTGTTACTGTGTTTGGCATATCGAATACATCACAGGTAGCTTGCCAGGCTCTCCAAGAGAGAGGTGGAAGAATCAAACTTGGGTCGGCTATGTTGGCTCCGTGCAAGGCAAACGCCCTACCGCTGTGCTATCGCTCCAGCTTTTATTTTAAGGTAGAATAACTTTTTTGCCCCTTATTTCTGGGACACACCTAGCTGTGCTCAGGACATACTCCTGACTCTGAACTCAGAGATCATTTCTGGTGGAGCGATAGCACGGCGGTAGGGTGTTTGCCTTGCACGCAGCCAACATGGCCGACCCGAGTTCGATTCCTCTGCCCCTCTCAGAGAGCCCGGCAGAGTATCTCGCCTACACGGCAGAGCCTGGCAAGCTCCCCGTGATGTTTTCGATATGCCAGACACGGTAACAACAGGAAACCATATGTGGTGGGAGGAATTGAAATCATGTCAGTAGTGTTCAAAGCAAATACGTAACCTATTGTATTCTGGCCCTTAATAATATATATTAAGCAATTTCTTAGGCAAATATTTTAAAATCAATCTTCTTATACACATATCCCCCTGAAATATTAATCTACATACCAAAATGTCGGATAATATTGGGTTATCCTTGCTCCTCCAGTAGGGATTTACTGAGTTGCTCTCACAGTAATGCTCCTGAGGCACATCCAATTTCACCAAGTGCTAATAATCCTATATTGCTTTTCTCTTTTCTTTATGTCATTTGCATGGTTTATTTAGCAATGTACTTTTTGTATAAATACAGGAAGACAGCTGGTGCTATGCTTTGTAACATGGGAGTTAATCAACTCCAAAATAATATTTACTCCTGGGAATTCACCATATTTAGCTGATTTAAGCCTCAGTTACCTTTATTTCCTAACACCCCCAAAAGGAGTGTCGTGATGAAGGGATTGGATGGACCTAAGGAAAGCTGTAAGCTACCCTGGCCTTGAAAGGGGACAAGCTAAGTGCCATAAGTATAATAAGTTAAGAGCATTGTCATGGAACAAACTCTGTCACGACCCAAAAAGAATTAACTGAATAATGACCCTACTGGGGTTAGGAAAGAGTAACCTGGCCTGAGGACTATAGTCTTGGATGTATAGCGAGATGTCCCTAGGAAGAGCCAAACTTTAAGCTTAATATATCTGTTACTGTGTTCATAAAAATGACTAGAAATATTAGCACTGCACTGTAGCACTGTCCTCCCATTGTTCATCTATTTGCTTGAGTGGGCACCTCGTAATGGTGAGACTTGTTGTTACTGTTTTTGGCTTATCGAATATGTCATGGGTAGCTTGCCAGGCTTTGCCGTACAGGTGGGATACTCTTGGTAGCTTGCTGGGCTCTCCAAGAGGGGCGGAAGAATTGAAGCCCAGTCAGCCATGTGCAAGGCAAACACCCTACCTGCTGTGCTATCGCTCCAGCCCAGAAATATTATAAGTAATAAATTTACTATGATTGTTTTAAAGGATTACTAGCCAAGGAAAGGAGAAAGCAATACACCCTCGATGGAGTCCCGCCCTTGAGTGGATCTACTAGTAATCTAGAGTGCTGAACCCTCAGACGAGATCTTGTCCTTGAGTTAATCTCCTAGAAGGAATAGCTTTACATCTTCCCCTGAAGGAATAGCTTTACATCTGTTTCTTTTTATGACAAAGTTCAACCCCACCTATGTGTACCCCCACCTTACACGATTTCTATATACTATGTTGTAAGGGGAAAGAGAGAATATAACAAAGACCAGAAGATATGGGTAATGAGGATTAGGATGATGGAACTCTGATGACTGGGACTATGGTCAAAACTCCAAAACTCTGACTACGACTGTGCTATAAGTGGAGAGATCAGACTACGCTGGGGAGGAGAGAAAAATAAACTGCTACAAACAAGCCTGGGGCTCTGTTTGTCCATTCCCTGGTCCAGCCAGGGGAACAATTCTTGGCCACTGAACACTGCTCTTCTCTTGGAAACTCACACCAAACTACACATTTATGAGTAACAATGAATAGGAAAACCAATAACATATTATAACAATTGTCTATTTTCTCTGTTCTTAGAAATGCTGTCCTTAGAAGTAACATCTCTTTTCTCCATTCTTAGAATTTGGGGCATTTATTTTTAAGATTTAATTAAAATTCAATTAAGAATATTTTGAGGGACTTGAGAAAGTATAAGTGGTAAGATACTACCATGCATGGAGCCCATCATCCTTCAATACCCACACCACATATAATTTTCTGAGCACCATATGGAGAGACCCCTATACACAGAGATAGGAGCATCCACTGATTACCAATGGTTATGGGCCAAACCCCCTTCCCATTTTTTGAAGTAAAAAAAGTATTTTTTGAAGTTAAAAAAAAAGTATGAAAGACTAAATATAATTTTGGAAAGGGACCAAGAGATAGTACAATGGGTAGGGCATTTGCCTTGCATGCACTCAACCTAGGTTTGATTCCCAGCATTCCATATGGTCCCCCTAGCACATCCAGGAGTAATTCCTGAGTGCAAAGTCAGGAGAAAGCCCTAAACATTGTTGGGTGTGATCCAAGAACAAAAAAGAAAAAAACACACATTATTTTGGGAAAAGACAATTATTCTGCTACCGTAATATAGTTTAGAGTTATCAAATGATAAGATACTGCAAAGTTACCATTTTGGGGATTATGAAGGTTTTCAGGCCAGGATTTTCCCACAATCTGGGAACCAATATTTGATATTTTTATTTTACATAAGTTTCCGATTAAGTTCTTATAGACTAAATAAGTCAAATCTGAACACAAATTTTGTTTGTAATCCATGGTAATTAGTATCAATGAACAATAGCATTGTAGCACTATCCTCCCGTTGTTCATCAATTTGCTCAAGCGGGCACCAGTAATGTCTCCATTGTGAGACTTGTTACTGTTTTTGGCTTATCGAATATGCCACGGGGAGCTTGTCAGGCTCTGCCATGCGGGTGGGATACTCTCAGTAGCTTTCCGGGCTTTCTGAGAGGGATGGAGGAACCGAACCCGGGTCGGCCACATGCAAGGCAAACACCCTACCCACTGTGCTAATGCTCCAGCCCAAAATGAACAATAATCCACAATTATTTCTAGTAACATGTATCACTTGTAATTTTCTGATAAACTGTCATATAAAACTGAGACATGTACAGCATTAAAAAATATAGTAGGCGTATAACAAATACACTAAGAACTGGTCTTTGGTAGAAAGCTGCCATTGTAGATAGAATGGTTAAGGGGGACCTGGGGAAATTGTAGAAGGAAGTAGATAGTCTGAGGGTGTGTGTAGTGAGGGATTGTGTTAGACAGAAAACCTTGTCATTAACAGTACTGGAATCCATGGTACCTAAAATAATTTTTAAATAAATTAATTAGGGGGCTGGAGCGATAGCACAGCAGGTAGGGCATTTGCCTTGCACGCAGCCAACATGGCCAACCCGGGTTCGATTCCCAGCATCCCATATGGTCCCCTGAGCACTGACAGGAGTAATTTTCGAGTGCATGAGCCAGGAGTAACCCCTGAGCATCACCGGGTGTGACCCAAAAAGCAAAAAAAAATTAATTAATTAAAAGCTTTAAATTATTATTTTAAAAACAATGTAGGTTTGAGGAAATAGCTCAGATGGCTTGAGAGCATTGATCCTCAACACAAGTGGCTCCTCAAGTACCCCTGGATATATCCCTGATAGACTCCAGGTCTCTTGGGCCTTTGCAATATGGTGCAACTGATCTAAACAGCATTGTACCACTATGGTGTGGTTTACTGAGAATCACCAGGAATGGCTACTGGGTCCCCTGAGCATTCCTTGGGAGTCTCCCCCACACTCCAAAAAAGGAAATTCTTAAATCAATAATATCTTAGAAATATTAACTTATTCTATTTTCTCACTGCTCATTCCTAATGTGAAGAAACAGGACATGAACAGTTGCTCTCATTAACTCCTATTCTTGTGCTAGAGTCATCTGTAGTGAAAACTCTTTTAAAAAGTGGACCAATAAATGCCCACTACAAATGGCAGCATAGAAAAACCATTAGCAATCTCACAAAAGCCTGATTCTGAAGTCTGAGCAAGGAAACTTCTTTGCACATTTTTTCTAGCAAGTTTGAAGTAAAGTTTGTGTCTAGGGCAGACAAAAATGTCAAGTACAACAAAAGTATATTTTGATATAGGCTCATATTTAACTCTCTAGTCAACTAAGTTTGTTAAACAAATATTTATTGAATACCTGTCATATGTATGTTATGAGTTATGATGCTAGGGAATAAGGACACAGCATGCATGAAATACACAAAACTCGTGTCCTCCTTAATTTCACTTTACGTAAGCGTAGAAGTAGATGACAAAAAAAGATATATGTGAGAAGGTCATAAGCGCAAAGGAGAAATAAAAGTGGGTGAATATTGGGATGATAATGTAAGAGGTAGGCTTTCTATTTTATATAGGTGACCAGAAAAAACTTCTTAAAGGGTTATATTAATCAGAGACGAAGAAGTGTAGTCAACAACATGAATCTCCAGAAAGAGAATGAAAGATGTAGGGATGAGCAAAACAAAGTTTTCTAAGGAGTGTGCTGGATGTTTTAGGAATAGTAAGAATGACAATGTGACTGAATTAGAACAAGTAGATAAGGAAAGCGTAGTAAAAGTTGAGGTCAGCAAAGAATGCCCATATCATAGACAGTATGTAGAGCACTGGAAGACCTTTGATTTACATTTTACATGAGGAGAAAATCAAAGGCTTATGATATTTGACATAATCAACGGGCCTTATGAACAGTAGCGTGGAAAGATGCTAATTATATCACAGACAGGTGCAATGTGTGAATGTGCTTATGACAACACGTGGTTATTGCAGCACTACTTCCATAATTCAAGATCTGGAAACAGTCCAAGTCCCCCACAAATTATGATTGGAGAAAAATTCTGGTGTATAAATTCATTTATAACAAAAGATGAACCTCGCATTTGACTTTAAGTTGGAATGGAACTGGAGAGTATCATGCTAAACAACGGAACGAGAATGAGAAGTACAAATACCAAACGCCCTCAGACATGGTGGAGCATAAAGAAACAAAAAAAGAGAACAGATAGTATGTTAGTGTGGTGGATGTGGGGGAGCCTGAGATTCTGCCAACAAAAAACAGAATAATATCCCAAGTTATTGGTGTAGGGGTTGACTGAGGAAGTGAGAAGGGAGATGCAGATGAGAAGGGACCTAAGGATAGTGGTGAATATATAGTAGCACTTTGGTGGTGGGTGTAGTGTAGTAACATTATATGTCTCAAAAATAATACAATTGTAAGTCATGCTCATTTTTAAAAATCAAGGTTAAAAATACAGTGACTCTGACCATCATATTAGTATTAGAAGTTATGGGAAACGGTTAAATGACAAGAAGTCATTATATTCTGAATGTAATTTAAAAGTAGAGAAAAGTCAACTGGTTATTTTTTATTTAAAATTTTGTTACTACCTTTTCTGCTTTTATATGCCAGCTTAGGCATAATGTTTAATTTTGGATATGGAAAATGCTAAATTTCACTAACGGATCACTAGCACTTGTGATTTAAAAATTTGCTTGGTGAGACAAGCTTTTAAGCTTTGTAAAAAATGTTATGATTAATAAGGTAGCCATTGATACTTTAGGATATATTATAATTAAGTAGTTTTATGTTGGTACATATGTGTTAAGTGCAATGCAACATTTGTGAAGTACCATGCTGTGCAATACTCAATTACATGCCAAAAAGGTTCTTTCAAACTGAATGTACAAGCTAAGACCATACTCTATCCCACCATTTTGCCCTCTATACTAGCTGTGCCTTTTCTTGGGCTTCCTCACTAGAAAAGAATCACAATAAGTCACAAGGGATGATTTATTCCACATTTTTACCACTATATCCTTGGTACCTAAAATACGGAGCCTAATAAACGATTGTTGAATCAGTGAACAAATTTTTACCAATTTCACACAGGGATACTAGTCATGAGCAAAGCATTCTGGGAATGAAGCATGAGATGAGGGAATAGGTTACAGTCCACACAGAAGACCATGGAAATTTGCTACACTTAAACTTAGAAGGAGGTAAAAATGCAACATTAGAATAGAGTAATAGTGAAAGAAGGCAAAAAGTTTCAGTAACAGTCAGGGTAACTTTTAAATACTATTATCACAGGATGACAGTGCTACAGTGACAGTGCTACAGTGCGACATTATACATGGGGAGTGGAAAAAAGACTAAGGAATATAATATATAAAAAGCTGACCTAGTTGATAAGCTGGGAAGAGAGAAATTGAGGACCACAATAGGGAAATCTGAAAAGGCTTGAAATTAAATAAAAGAAAAGCAGATAGATGCCATTTTGATTTACTATATTAAAAATGAAGACAAAGGTTGGGGTGGGAAGAATAAAAGTATTACTTTATGGGTATTTCAGTTTTGCAAAGAGGCTTATTTTCTGGCTAAAAACAACACTCAAGGAATATGGCAGAGCAGAAGACGCAAAGATTAGATAATGGATAAGTAAAAGACTGTATACAACATAGTGAGGTTTCCCAACTCCCTTCTCCCTCTGATTTCCAGACATGGAAGCAAGACATACATCTTTCAGGCAGGAGGTTAAATGCTTATTTTCTGGGGGAAAGAAGAGATTGAGGGTGGCGTTGGAGGTAGGGGACACCTTTGGTTTTCTGCAACAAAAATATTCCTTGCTACCATCACTTTGTATGTGAATTCATTAAAAAAAATCCTCATTTCCAAATATACGGCTTCCCCGAAACTTTTTACTCCTTTACTCTTAAAAATGTATAAATTACTAAATATTAAAGAGCATCTGGTAAATGTCTTCAATACAAAAGACTGAGTTCCCCAGACAAACCAGAAAGTCATAAACCAAAAGAAATTTTTCAAAAATTATCGAGTTACCATGGGAAGGGGGGCGTTCCGGCCTGTCCTTCACGCCCTACCAAGGTCACCAGCTGCCCCCAACGAGCGGCTCTCCGGCACGGCCACGGCCCCAGAAGCACAAGGACTTAATGCAGAATCCAGCAACTTGGAGCAGAAAAGTGAAGGGACTATGCGTTAATCAAAGCCATCATGTCTGCCCGGAGGGGAAAGGGTGTTGCTCCCTTCCGCCCTCCCCGCTCTGGAAAGAAAGATGGCGGCCGCATGGGAGCCTTGTGGAGAGCAGGTATGAGCCGGGGGTGTTTGGGCGACTAAAACCTCATGGGAAGGGGGGCATTCCGGCCCGTCCTTCACGCCCTACCAAGGTCACCAGTTGCCCCCCACGAGCGACTCTCTGGCATGGCCACGACTCCAGAGCACAGAAACCAATCTCTTAATTATCTGACTTTCAGTAGAAATACTTCCAGGGTTAATAAGTAAAATAGCAGAAATCCAAAACCAACATTTAATTCTTGAACCCAGCTGTAGAAAGCAAATCACTTCACAATGCTTTTTCAGCATGTCTGATTTGGGGGGGGGAGGGTAAACTCTAAATAATAATGGTGCATCTTTTATCGAAACAATGAATCTAGTCAAAGTAGGTAGAGTGTTAACTAGAATTCATCTGCCTCACAGGCTTTGGGAGGGGTGGGGGATGGGGGTTTATTGGGGTTCTTCGTGGTGAAAAATAAGTATTGATAAAGAAAAATGTGTTTGCATGACTGAGACCTAAACCTGAAAACTTTGTAACTTTTCCCACAGTGATTCAATAAAATAAATGAATTATAAAAAAAAATTATCGAGTTAATATTCTGAAATGTGTAAGACAAATATTACATCCATAAATAAGAATAATTTAAAAAGGAAAATTACAAATATCATGGCTAAAATTAAAACTACAGTACAGAAGCTGCATAGTGAGTATCAAAGAAATTCTGGGTCTGGAGAGACAGTACAGCAGGTAGGGAGCTTGCCTTGAGTGCAGCTGACCCAGATTCAATCTCCAGCATCCCCTATGGTTCTCTGAGCACTGCCAGATAGTAATTCCTGGGTTGAGCCAGGAGTAACCTCTGAGCATCGCCAGGTGTGGGCTAAAAACAAAAAAACAAACCAAAACAAACTAAAGAAGAAACTACTCTTGGACAAAAGCAAAAATAAAAATATTCAGGCAAAAGGACAGAAGCACACCATCATTCATTAGCATTTAGTATAATAGCTTGGATATGGAATCAACTGTATCCAAAGACAGATTAGTGGATAATGAAGGTGTGGCATATATACACAATGGAATACTTTGCAGCTGCAAGAACAATAGAATCATGTATAAAACAAATAATGTTTTTTTTTAAAAAAGAAACTCTCCTGGGAAGTATCATAAAAAATAAAGTCACATAAAAATAAGTGAAAAAAATCTTCAAAACACTTAGATAAAATGAATCAGGGATACAAAACAAAAGTACCTGTGAATGAACATAAAAACAAGCTCTTTATAACATTTCTACAAATTCCTCTTTCTTACTCTATATTGAGCACCTTCTATGTGAAAGTCTATGAGAGGATCACAACTTTTTTAAAGATAAAAGACATTCAAACACATACTAGACTACAATGTATTGTTTATGGTAAAGATTATAAAAAGGAATGTTGACAAAGAGAAGTGTTATTTCTGGTCTCAGTGGTTTTTCAGGGCTGGACCTTCAAGTGAAAGATTCCAAACCAGAAAAATGTGCAAAGAAGAAGGAATATTTGAGCCAGAGAAAATGGCAGAAGCAGAGGGGCAGAAGCTAACAAGTTAAGAACATAGTAGCTAATTTGTTTGGGCTAAAGCACAAACAAGTGTTTAGTAGGAGACAACTATGGGCAGAGAAGCTATTAAGACTAATGGGGAAGCACATAGGGTTTCTGCTATTTAGATGCTGTGACATTCTGAATGACATGGATGTAGAGAAGTTGGCTTATATCAGTTTTTCTTTTATTTTCTTTTAATTTTTGGACCACTCCCAGCTGTGTTCAGGGGCCCATGAAGTTACTGAAATTGAACCCAAGCATCCTACATGCACAAGCAAAGACCTCTGAACGATGATTCTGTCCACCACATTTGTTTGTCTGTGTGTGCTGCAACGATCAAATCCAGAGATTCACACATTAGAAGCATGTGTTCTAGCACTGAACCACATCTCTAGTTTAATTTTCTGAGTAGAAGAAGTATTATTTCCAGGCTGGCTAATAGTGCAGTGTATGGAAAAGAACACTAGATTTGGGAGTCAGAGAACTTGCATCTATAAACTACAAACCCAAGTTTTACATCAGGTCATTTCATTACTGGATATCAATCTTCTCAAATAGTATAGTGAGGTGAGGTTTTAAAGTCTATCCTGCTCGAGAATAATTCAAGTATAAGATTGAAGGATCAGATAAACTAGGACAAGACAACAAAAATAATTAAAGGATAGGTAAATATAATCTTAGACAAAAGCATTAAACTGTATACTTACTAAAAAACAGAATATATTAAAAGTTAACTGCACTGAAAAATAAAATAAATTGCTTTACCTGTAGACGATCAACATGAACCTTGACTCCTCCAACCATCCCCTTTTTAAAGGCTGCCAGCATATCAAGTATGGGATTGAATCGGCTACCTCTAAAAAATATAAATAGATTTTTAAAATGAGAATAATAACAATAAAATGAGAGTTTCAGAATCTAACATTACGTATTCTTTGCATATTCACTCTGCCGCATGCTGACAAATATAAAAGATAGAAGAACGACTTTGACAGTGTTCTTGTCCATCTTACCTTATATTGTCTTCCCGGATAAGAACAAGGAAAAGTGGACGCCCATGCATTTTCCAGTATTGCTTAATGAACTGTAGTGCATTCTGTCAAAATGTAAGAATAAGATAAGACAAGATGATGTAACACCTGAACTTCTCAGGATACTTAACTATTAATGGCAAAAGAAAATAAAACTTATATATCAAGGCAATTCGTTTTGAAGATTCCTATAATACAGGTCTTTGAGTCTAGAGCATAAAAAGCATACAGCATGCAAAATGAAAAAAATATAGAACCCATTTGTTTTAGAGAATATGTGGGGAAAGACTTAATTCAAAAATGGTCTCCAGAAGGGAAAAACATTATTATCCTGAAGATTATTAGATTAATTCTCATTTTCACATTACAGCAGTTATATAATAACAGCAGAGACTGGAATGAATCTAAACAACCTATCAGAAACTTGGAGAGAAATGGGTTGGAGGGACAGTATAATAGGTAGTGCTCTTGCCTTGCACACAGTTGACCTGGGCTCAATCCCTATTACCCCATATGATCCTCTAAGCCTGTCATTAGTGACCCCTACACGAAGAGCAAGCAGTGAGCATAGCTGTGTAGCCCCAAACCAAACAAACAAAAAAGTAAGAAGAAAAGAAATTAGAGAGCATATTTGAGTAAATTTCATATCATATCATACTTATGTAGCACTTTACCCTGTGCCAGGCACTGAATGTTTTACATATACTATTTGATCTCCAGAACAACTCTATTATTATTCAGTTACAGAGATGATAAAATAAAAGGATCACAGCTAAGTAACTTGTCCACGATCATACAGCTGATGAATATTGAGCCAAGATTTTAATAAATGCAATCTGGCTTCGGACTGTATGCTCTTGAAATGACCTGAAGTTCACTTTGCAAATGGAGATACTTAACTGACTGGGTGTCGTCACTTGACTCAGTTTTTCACTTTACATTCTTCATAAGTAAAATTATTTTGCTAACAACTTCTGCCCCCAAAGAGATAAAATTACTGTCATATTACATGGTTCCCAAACGAGTGTTTTTTCTGCTTCTATAAACTATAACCCTTCATTCTACTGTAGAAAGTCTATAAAAGCAAAGGCACATAATTTTATAGGGAGAAAACTCTATAATAAAGCTACAAATAGGTGCTGGAGAGATAGTACTGTAAGGAACTTGTCTTGCATGCAGCTGTCCCAGGTTCCTGGAACCTTTATAGACCCTTGAGTCCTGCCAAGAGTGATCCCTGAATGAGGAATAACAATTGAGCATAGCCAGGTGTGACCCAAAAACAGAAAGAAGGAAGGAAGGAAGGGAGGGAGGCAGGCAGGCAGACAGGCAGGCAGGCAGACAAGCTATAGGTAAGTTAACTTATTCTTCAAAATTATGCAGATTTTATTTTATTTTAATATTTTACACTATTAACACCATGCCACAGTCACTCAGGAACACACAACTAACATGATAAAAATCACTATAAACAAAGGATACTATTTCAATTAAAAAAAATAGATGTCCTTCTGCAATTGTTTGTTCATTGCAGCACTCTTTATAATAGCCAGAATCTGGAAAAAACCTGAGTGCCCGAGAACAGATGACTGGTTAAAGAAACTTTGGTACATTTACACAATGGAGTACTATGTAGCTGTTAGAAAAGATGAAGTCATGAAATTTACATACAAGTGGTACTACATGGAAAGTATCATGTTAAGCGAAATGAGTCAGAAAGAGCGGGATAGACACAGAAAGATTGCATTCATCTAGGGAACATAAAGCAACAAAACGAGAGACTAACACCCAGGAATGGCTCAGATTAGTACCAGGAATTTTGCTCCATGACTTGAAGACCAGCCACATGTGCTAGGTGAAAAGGAAGCTCAGATAGAGAAGAGCGCACCAAATAAAGGGTGTTGTGAAGACCCTCCCAGGGTGGGAGAGACATGCTGAAAGTAGTCTATAGACTGAACATGATTGCCACTCAATGCCTCTCTTGCAGAACACAGTACCTAAAAGAAGAGAGAGAGAGAACAAGGGGGAATGCCCTGCCACAGCGGCAGGGTGGGACGGAGGGGATGGGGGGTGGGAGGGATGCTAGGACCCGTGGTGGGGGAGGATGGGCACTGGTGGAAGGATGGGTACTTGATCATTGTATAACTGAAACCCAAGCACAAAAATTTATAAGTCTATAACTGTACCTCATGGTGTTTCACTAATAAAAAAAAATGATAAAAATAAATAAATAAATAAAAAATAAAAAAAGAAAAAAAAAGATGTCTTAAACTACCTTTATGTCGTCTATCAGCAGTAAAACGTCTTGAGACATGTAGAAATCACTTAGGTCAAAGATGATAGGGTAACAAACCACAGTCTTTCCGAGAATGCGGTAAATCTATAAGGGATAATTTTATAAAATAAATATAAAGCAAATGTACAGTTACATAAGTTTAATAAAAATCAAAACCTATTTATGTCTAATCGGCAAATAAAATATCTTCTAAAATAGCATAATATAAAGAAAGTTAGGGTTCTTCATTAAATCTGTATGCTAATTCAGAAATTTGCCATAAATATGACATAAAAAAACTGTGACATGGTGGTGGAGTGATAGTAGAGAAAGTGGGGCACTTGCTTTGCAGCCGACCCAAGTTCTATCACTGGCATCCCGTATGGTCCCCAAGCCCTGCCAGGAGTGATTCCTGAGTACAGAGCCAGGAGAAACCCCTGAGCACCACTGGGTATGGCCTAAAAGCAAGAAACAAAAACTATGACATGATATAACAGTATTAGAGTAAATTATGTTATCATATGGTACTTTACAACACTTAGAAATAATATAGCACTGTTAATCTTATTCATTTTTAGGAGAATTCATACAAACTAAGACTTCCTTGTTGAAATTAATAATACAGAAAATCAAGCCAAGTATAGTATAGTTGTTTTTCTTTTTCTTTTTTTTTAGGTAAAGGGGCATATTTGGCGATACTCTGGGGTAATTCAGGACTCTGTATTTAGGAATCATTCCTGGTGGTGCTCGGGGAATCATATGGATGCCAGGAATGGATAAACGGTTGGCTGTGTGTAAAGCAAGTGAACTCCCTCCTGTCTATCACTCCAACCCCAACCCAAGTATATAATGTAATGTAAGAATGAATGAACAGCAGATGAAATATTATTTCAGTCTGTGGTATTATAGTTTGAACACTGCACTAGAAGGAAATTTTATGAGCACCTTTGATGTACCAAGACAGCCAATGGGTCTATCTGGCCTTCCGGAGAGTCCTAATTTTTCATTGATACCCAGATGGAAATAAGCCTGCAAAACATGAATTTATAAATCAGAGTTAGGCAAATATTTATGCTTTTTCTTTCACTGTTCCCCTCCCATTGCCCTAACATTCCCTCTGTTAACTTCTGATATTTCCAGATAAACAGAGAACAAGGAAAATCTTATTCAAGAGACTTGAAGGGAAATACGATAGTGTTGTCAACTTAAATTTGGGATCATTGACAAAACTGAAAGTAAAATTTTGTGACCTATTTGGCGACATTCTGAAATTTGACATTGTTCTTACACTGTCACAAATGTCTAATTTCAATCGTTCTGTTCATTTTACAAAAAAAAAGAAAATTACAAATGTCTTCTCTGTGTAAAAAATGACTAATTTTTCAAAAATGAGGTCACATAATTGCTTCTTACTAGAATTGTATTTTCAGGTATTTCACTTCAAAATAAGAGGTGTCTTTTATTGATGTTTTTAATACATAAATTTTATTTTAAAAATTTAAGCAATATCCTAAGAGTTCTGTTTGTTTTCATGAGTTTGCTTGTTTGTGTGGGGTCATACAGAGGAACTTGGAAATTGTTTCCAGCATGATACTCAGGAGACCATGTGGTAAGAAGGATCCCATTCAGGGATAAGGACTGAAGGCATCAGACTTACCCAATTAGGGTCTCAACTTAGTGACCTCATTTAACCCTAATTACCTTCCTGTTGGCCCTGTTTCCAAATCCAAAAACACAATGCTTCTATTTGGTGTGACTCTGGTAGGTTATTTTGCGGGTCTGGGAACACTTTCATTTTTTTTCCTCCCACAGCCAGGCTGCTAAGACTCACAGCCCAGTGCTACAGGTCCTGGAGTTCCTGCAGAGTATGTGGCCACGTGCCACCTCCAAATTCCACAGCACTGACAGCTCTGTAGGAGCACACTAAATTAGGCAGGAAAGTAACATAGGAGCCAACCAAGCTCAATAAATAAAAAAAAAAAACACAGAAGGCTCAACTAGCAGCAAGGAACTCAGTAAATCCTCAATGACTTTAATGACTCCATGTGAGAAAGAACAATTTTCTTTTTTCTTTTTCTTTTTTTGATTTTTGGGTCACACCCAGTGATTCACAGGGGTTACTCCTAGCTCTGCACTCAGGAATTACTCCTGGTGGTGCTCAGGGGACCATATGGGATTCTGGGAATTGAACCTGGGTCAGCTGCATGCAAGGCATATGCCCTACCCGCTGTGCTATCACTCCAGCCCTGAAAGAACAATTTTCACAAAGTTTCTTTTGCTGGAGTATTTTTTCGATAATTCCATTAGCAGTTTTATTGGATTAAGCAACATAAAGTATTTTGTGTCTGCTAAAGGGGACAGACTTGTGGAGTGGGCGGGAAATGAGACAGGGATGGAGGGAAAGTCACACTGATGGTGTGGTTGATGTTGGCACAGTGACGCACCTGAAACAATTGTGTTAGGAAGAACTTTGTAAAACACTGGGGCCCCCCGTTTTATAAATTTTTAAGCAACTACTACTTCATTTTGATAAATATTTAAAAGGGAATAATTCATATGTAACTGCTAACAAATGAATACACTGTTACAGATTTTTAAAAATATATAAATATATGGACATATTACATACACAAATCAATATGCCTATATGAACACTAATTGGTACATATATCATATATTTAGTATCCAACTTTAAAAAATCTAATATTTTTATATTCGTGTTTCAAAGTGGTTAATTTTAACTGAGACTATGTATTACTGTACATTCTAATGCTGAAATAACTAATAACATAGTTTAGGAATAGTACCTATAGAAAGACTACAAAACAGAAAAGGGATAAAACTCCTAGAATTTCTACAAGTTAGAAGGAAATAGATTTAAATGAATCAGAAGTTAATCAGTGAGAAATTTTCCATTCCAGATGCCTCTTTACCCTATTTCAGTGGTTTTCACTATTTCACACATGTGGTCCTGTGCTGGTTGACATGAAACTATTTAGCAGTGACTGTTGAGTTCTCAGCGACTATTTAGTTTTCAGTGACTGAGAACTATTTCTACTTCACATCTCTGCCCTGATGAAGATAGAATCTAATTTGTTGTTATTTCAAAAAGATTCCACTAAAAAAATCTTTAAATAGTGTACTATTTATTTCTTAGAATAATTTCTTAGGTTTTATAAATAAAAGAGAATATTTATTTCATTTAAAATAATGTTAGGTTACATCAGCAGCCTGATGGCACCGTCAGACTTCCAGATACCCCAAAATTGCTTCTGTGCCTTTGGCCAGATCCCAAAAACTTGGGGCAAAGTTTACCAAGAAAGTAAATGGCCAAAAGTTAGGTATGTGGAAAACACACCCACAAACCACCTCGGGCTCAGCTATATAATTGGAGGCATGGCCTCTCTGGTTCCAGATCAAATTGCTTAATGGCCATGATCCCAGAGACTCAGAAATAAATCTCGAAACCCAGTGGCTTTTGGCGGAAATGTATCTGGTCCCTGCAGTAGGTTACCCATGCAGGGCCAACCCAGGTGGGAACAGGTTTCTTGCCTTGGCCTGTTCCTTCTGGCAGCCCGGTGGCCGCCATCCTCCAGAGGTCATTGGACAGTCAGGTTTCGGCCCACAGTGATGAAACACACAAAGCTTCATGGGATGGGGCTAGATCCAGCGCTTTCCTCCCCACCCCAACGAGACCCGGAGTCATCACCCACGAATGGCCTCTATGGCTCCTAATCAAGCTGCTTAATGGCCATGATCCCAGAGACTCAGAAACAAATCTTGGAACCCAGTGGCTTTTGGCAGAAATGCGTGTGGACCCCACAGTAGGTTACTGTCACCGCGCCACTCCAGGGAGGAAAGGGTGCTGCCCTCCACCTGCTCCCTGTAGGCAGCTCAGTGGCTGCCACCCTCCAGAGGCCACTGGACAGTCAGGTTTGTGCCCTCAGTGATGAGACATGCAGGGCCTCACAGGTTGGGGGTGGAGCCAGTCCTTTCATCCCTGTCCCAAAGAGACACCGAGTCGCCACCCATGAATGGCCTTTCTGGCTCCTAATCAAACTGCTTAATGGCCATGATCCAAGAGACTCAGGAACAAATCTCGGAACCCAGCAGGTTTTGGCAGAAATGCCTCCAGATTTAAGTGTTAAAATTTCAGAATTTCAAAATCGCGTGGCCACTACTGCAGCCACTCGACATCATATGTTATTCTTAACCAGCAATAGAAAACAAATTGTCTACTGTTGCCTTTTCAGCAGATCTGAGTGTTGGGGTAAAATACCAAATAATAATGGTGGGTCTGGTGTCAAAATATTGAATGTGATCAAAGTAGAGAGAGAGTAATGTGCAAATCATCTGCCCCACAGGTGGGGGGTGGGAGTGGGATGGGGGTATACTGGGTTTTTTGGTGGTGGAGAATGGACACTGGTGAAGGTACGGGAGTTTCATTGTATGACTGAGACTTAAACACCAAAATCTTTGTAACTGCTCTCACGGTGACTCAATAAACAAAATTATAAAAAATGAAAAAAAAATAATGTCAGGTTAGTAATTCTAGAAGTAAGAAGCAATTTACACTGGAATTAATAGAGACCTTTTTGTCATTTTCTTGGATCAAAATTATATTTCATTTTAGCTTTAAACTAATATCTTAAAATATTTTGTGTCTGAACACTATATATTTAGAAGGCTATTTTATAGGTTCTATAACTTTTTTCATGTTCCCTTTCCTACAAGGTATTTATTATTCATTTTGACCCATAAGTAATCTTAGTATATTACGATTATAAGCCTGGGTGAATAATATTTTGCTGAGATGGCTATCATTAAATTTGTCGATCATTTCTGAATGGCTCTTTGGCACTGGTATTACTCTAAGAATGGACTTTCTCTCCTAATAGCTATCAACCATTTACTAGTTTTTCTTCTAGCAACTATGCATTTAAAAATATTGAGGTACTTAATGTGTTCATTTTATTTGATGATGTAGAAATCTAGCCTAAATTTTCCTTAATGTAAAATTTAAACTATCTATATCCATATAATCTAATCATTGTGATTTGAAACTATTTAAATATCAACCTCGTCTTAAAATTATTGTTATCGCCAGTGCTCCCTGTTTATTAAGCTATGGTGAACACATCTATGTCAGAGTTAGCTCTGATATCTATTTTTCCTCCTGTACTGTATGTTCCTAGAAAACAATATCATCCCAGCTGACACTGTGTCTAGGATATAGCTGAGTCTCAGGAAGTAGTTGAAGGAAGAATGATGGAGCATTTAATGTCCTGCTAAGCCACTTGTCTTATGAATATTGATTTTGAAACATCAGTAGTTTCAGACAAAGCAACTGTCCAGGAAAAAAATTATGTTGTTAAACTGTATTGAAACTATTGTACAGCACTATAAGGAGTTCCCTTTCCCTTGAATATTTTTCATTTTCAAAAGTAAATACACATCTATAATTTTTTCATTGATTGTTGATTATGATGCTAGGGATTGAACCCAGGTCTCACATAGATGAAACATGAGCTCTATCCCTGAATCATCCCTGGCCCCCATATTTCTTCTTTTTTGATGAGAAAATACAGTGTGTACCTGAATTAAAAATACAGTGCTGGAACCTTAGATCTTGTGTCTTCAAAACTGCCTGTGGATTCTCTGTTCCATCTAGGTATATATACCTTCTTTGGTCATTTAAAAAACAGCTTCCCATTAGTCACATATTGGAGTCTCAAGAACTCTACATTACTAAAAGGAACAATTCTGAAGTTGTACTTTCCCCCCTGCAAGGTGCGCCTCATGTATCTAAAATTTTTCCTTCTAGTATTGTTTGAGACTTGACCACATTATAAATATAGCAGACTTTACCATGATCATCTTAGAGAGAACATTTTTTTGAGGAGTTGGGGAAAGCAGCACGGTGTAGTGGGGAAACACAAATGTTCTCAGCCAGGCTGAACCAGGGCCTCACACACGCAAGACATGCACTCCAGTCTGTTGAGCTATTTCTTTGAATATTCTAAATACTTTGGTATTTGTTCCTTAAGTGTTTCCTTTAGCAAAGGGAAAAATGGTACTTTATGAATAAACAGAAATCAATAACATTAGATACAAGACGAACAAGAATATTCATATAAAGTCACATCTGGGTTCATCTGCATAACAGTACATGCAAAAAGCCTCAAAAATTGCCTTCATGAGGATCCCAAGGAGTTAGGTAACTGTACCTAAATAAATAAACTCAAATATTACTTGATAATTACTAGAGAACCCAATTACTTTCAGACTCTGAATATCAAGGCAAGATAAAAAAGAAAGTTATTTACCAATAAATATTTAAGTGAGGCATCTTAGCAGTTAATAAAAGGGAAAATACTAAAATTCAAGGTAAAGGTCAATTTCACACAGAACTATTAAAATTAAATGTTATTTTAATGCTCAGTTTATTTAGTAGCAGATTTAGCCCAAAATGAAAGTTAACAAAACCTACAAATATATACAAATATAAAACAAGGCAGTTGTTTTGAGTAACACTATTTGACAAAGCATGTTTCTCAATTAGGAAGACTTTTGAATTAATGATTCCATCTCATAAATGAATTTAAACTATGCTTCTTGATTTTAAACTAGTCTAATCTCCATGCTCAAGTATCTCTCTATCAAGTAGAAAATAAAAAAGCAGAATCACATACTTTGACAAGTTCCTGTTGAGCCCATATCTGAATGGGTTCTACCTGTTGAGGTGTCTGGGTTTGAATACCATACGTGTTGAGAAAAACTTGAAGGCTAAATAAGAGAGAAAAAGAGACACTTTTAGAAAACGTATTTATAGTTTAGAAATGCTTTAAAAGGAGGATAAAAGAGAAGAGACTATGTTAGCTTGGAGCCCAGTATTAATTTACAAGTGTTGGCAACATGCCATTTGCATAGGAATCCGGATGCTTTCCTGAGTTCTTCATAAAGCATGAGATGGAAGCCTTGATGGCAGGCAGAGAGGGTCAGCACTGACTGCGGCCATTACCATAGTCTGTTTATACTAAATTTTCAAACTACACCTCAGGCAACAGTGGCACTGGCCAGTGCTTAATGTTAATATTAACTAAGAAAAATTTTTTGATCTATTTTTTAAAAATTTACTTGAAGCATCATTATGTACAATACTGTTAATGATAGCATGTTATGCATACTGTTACAAAATTATTTTTAAAGTAAAACATGCTATACTTTCACTTAAAGTGATATTTCTGACATTATTGAAATCCTGTAAAAGGGTTTATGAAATTAATAGCTATATTCATCCTAATATTATAAGCATAAAATAATTAATTCCCTTCCCACCATGCATCTGGATTTCATACCGTTGGCTCTCTGCTACAAGTGCTACATGAACTACCAAATCATTTTCCAGTGGACCCTGTAAAACAGAAAAAAAAGGAAACATTTAGAAAGATCTGGTCATCATCAGTTACAATGAGAATCAAGGACAATATTAACCATCTCTAAGAGGTTCATTAAAATGATAGACACCAGCTGGCTCCAAACAATCACCTCTCCTTCCTTGCTCTCCACTACCTACTAATCAATTTGATGGTGTAGACAGAGTAATGGAACACCATGGAATGAAGAGCCATAAATCTCAGTACTACCAGAGGGGCTAGCCTGTCAAGGCTATTTTGAATGATGCATAAGAGTAGCTTGGAGATTGAGTATCGTTTTCCATCATTTAACTCTGAAGGAAAGAGGAGGAACTAAAAATAAAAATCCAATTTATGTATCTGTAAAAAAAAGATTGTGAGTTAAAATTGTTCGCTTGACATCTTAACCACTCATGAGACTATTCTTTCCTGTTAGCCAATTTTCTTTTGGCACCTTATACATCAAAATAGTTTTGTCCTAATATATAGTTCCTATGAAAGAGGATGAATTATCCAATTGAATATATATAATTAGCATTCTATTAATTAAATACAAGCTGTTAGCTTAATAGATTCTAATCAAAGATAATGTTGAATGTTTGCTACTTTTTCTGTGGAAAGAATTCACCATTAACATACATTTATACATTGTTAAAGTGAATCTAATTTTGAGACTCATTATAATTAACAGAGAATATTAGAAAAAATAAATCATAGAATTAGTAATCTCTGAAAAATACTGATTAATTTTTTTATAGCAATGAATCCAACATTCCCAATGGTACACCCTGAAAAGTTTGATTTACCATCAATAGTTACTCTCAAGGGTATTCAATATGTCACTAGAATTTATGCATGATGGAAGGTAAGAAATACCGTAATACATATGTCAGCAGTAAATACCATATAATCAAAGGAATGGTTCCCAGAATCATTATGAAAATGCCACTTCAGGCAGACTTCCATGTGATTTAAATGAATATCTAAGAAAAAATATTACAACCCAACACAAATAAAAATACATTAAAAATGCTATTTATTTCATTTTTATTTGATAAAGACCCTGAAAGTTAATGTTATTCGAGTGAACAAAAATTAATTACTCAAAGTTTTATCAATATTTCTAAAATAAAATGAAAACATAAAGCCTTGTTTCTCTTGAACAAAATCTAGTGTATACTTCATCTAAAAGAAGAAAAAAATCTTAGAGTGAGTCATTATCTACCATCTTCAGAATAAGAAATTCTTAAAAGGCGAATATATATAATATAATGCAGATACATTGAAGCTTCAGTAAATAAGGATCTTGAAGATCCTAGTAGGCAAACTGGTATCTTCTTTTGAATTATAGGCTTATTTGGATAATCTTTGCTTCCATTAGAAACACACTAAGTGTTCAGATCTAAAGTATCCACGATGAACTATGGTAAGTATCTGGTTAGGGGACTATTAGTTGGCTAAAGGTTGGGTTTTTTTTTTAAATTTTATTGAATCACCGTGAGATATAGTTACAAGCTTTCATGTTTGAGTTACAATCACACAATGACCAAACACCCTCTCTCCATCAGTGCACATTCCCCACCACCAATATCCCCAGAATATCCCCCCTTTCCAGGCTAAAGTTTTTTATTGTGAAAACTCAGCATTCCAGAAAGTTTCCATTTACAAACTATATACCATAATGAGTACAGATCCAGATCATCAACCCTGGCCCATATGCAACCCATTTCCACTCACAGAAATATTTAGCATAGGCATTCTCATTCAACAAGTCTCTTCCTTTGACTATGAAAGCTGGAATCATTATCACTCATTATTAGAGAAATGCAAATCAAAAGAACATTCCAAAGAATTCTAAGCATTTTTAAAAGAAAATTTCCAGTGACTTACATTTCTCCCACTTCCCCTATTTATTTCTTCAAAATTTCCTCATCTTCACTGACTCTCTAGTTCTGTACCTACCCAGTGTCTCTCAGCTGGAGGTCATAGGGATCCTCATGTAGGCTCTCAGATTACCCCAAGGGGACACATGTGAAAATAGCATAAATGGGAGTTGGGAGTGGGCATAGCATGGGACTAGGTCAACCAGCAGGATGAGAGTGGATGCTCACACAGGCAGTGAGCAAGGCTGGAAGGAGGCCTCAGTCTGAATGAGGCTGAGGAACACTGATCTAACTTCTTCTGGAAATAGAAATCCTCTTAGTTCCTTGGTTTTCTATTTACTCCACTTCTTTGTTTTCTCACTAATCCCATTCACTCTGATAGCTTTAATTATCACCACATCAGATGATTCTATATTTCTACATGGAATCTTGAACTTTCTTGAGTTTAAGCTCTCACATTTTAAACTAAGTTCTGGACAGTTTCTCTTAATGACTTCCAAAGATGATTGCTCTATAACTCAACTCATCAGTGCTATCCCCACTCTAGCTAGGTTCACTCCAGCTTAAAGCCTCAGAATCATCTATGATTATTTACAATTACTCTCCACATTCAATTTACCACCAAAATCCTGAAAAATTCTTTCTTCATAAAGTATCTTGAATCTTTTCATTTATATAACCAAATACAGGATTGAAAAGCTAAAACTACAATAAAAGACTATGTCACACTCTACACCCTATATGTGAGATACTTTTAAGTTCTTTAATAAACTGTATCCCTATTTTACATATAAAGTTCTTTAATAAGCTGTATCTCTATTTTATACATAATAAAAATGAAGCAGAGAATGTTTGAGACACTTATCTAAGGCCATAGAGTTAGCAAACAGCAGAGTTAGAATTCAGACTGTAGAGTCTGAAATCAGGATCACTCACTTATTCTGTATTTTAAAATATTTATTTCAGGACTATACTGTCCTCCCATTGTTCATCAATTTTCTCGAGCGGGCCCAGTATCGTCTCCATTGTGAGACTTTGCTGTTACTGTTTTTGACATATCAAATATGTCACGGGTAGCTTGCCAGACTCTGCTGTGCGGGCGAGATACTCTCGGTAGCTTGCCGGACTCTCCGAGAGGGGCGGAGGAATTGAACTCCAGTTGGCCATGTTGGCTGCATGCAAGGCAAATGCCCTACCGCTGTGCTATCGCTCAGGACTATAAAACTTACATATAAACCTTATCTTATCAATACTTCCTGAATGATTCTGGTCATCTAATAGGTGCCTTAAACTTATCATGGACAAAACTAGTGATATCTATCCTTAGGTTAACTCACCCTCAAAGTATCTAAAAAAGCCCTATACCATAAATTGATTTGATGTGTCCAAAGATAGGTTAGTCATCCTTGATTTTTTTCCCTAATAACCAGTAATAAATTTAAAAGTAGGTAACACTTATCAAGAAACAAGTAGCCATATTGTGATTTACTTAACAAAATAGCCCATTAAGTAGGTTACTATGATTCCCATTTACTTATGAGAAAACAGAAGCACAAAATGCTTATAAACTTATTAAACTTCATATAACAAATAAGAGGCAAAGTGGAGAGCTTCAACAATCTAATCAATCTCTTAAACGTTATCATATACTGCCTGCCTCTGTAATGAGGTGCCAACTCACCAATTGCTACTAATGGCTCTCTACTGTTGAAACTGTCCCATCAATCACACCACTTCGTTCCATCTGCATTGCTATGTCACTCTACTTGAAGTAAACATTCTCTACCTCAGTCTTTCTCTGCCCACTCATAGCAGTCTACTGCGCAAGTAGAAATAATTTTTTAAAAAAGACTTAAATCAGACAATCTAATCAGCACACACCTTACCTTACTCCCACACACATGCGCGCACACGCGCGCACACACACACACACACACACACACACACACAGTCATCCTACTTAAAACTCTAGTAGCTTCTAAGCAGCTATATAAAAAGAACTAAACTGTTTATCATGGTCTATAGGGCCTATAGATCTACTGGTCTAGATCTATAGGATCTAGAATGAGCCCATCTCGTCCTTTTTATTCTCCCTTCTTTGTTTTTTGCAGTCCTTGAATATGCGACTATGTTCCTAACACAGAGTGCTGCATTTGCTGCCTGTCATGTTTTTCCTTCAGACTGCACATTAAGCCCTCTTTTCTTCAGAAAAGCCTTCTCTACCACAGCCAGTCTCCCTGTGATTAATCATTTTATCTTGGGGGAAGTGGGATGGTGGGAGCTAGATGGGAACATCGGTGGTAAGAAATGTACACTGGTGAACAGTCAAGTGTTATATATTGTATGACTGAAACCCAATTATGAACAATTGTAACTGTGTATCTACCTCATGATGACTCAATTAAAACGGGGGAAAATAAAAAAATTTTTAATCAAATTTGGTTGACTTCAGAATACTCTTCAAGCCCAGAAACTTATTACTTCATTTAATTATGCACTCATTATTATTTGATTATACTAGAAAATAACTCCCTGATGGTAATGACCTTGATCTGTGTTGCCCACTTGTTATGACCCCCTAGCCCCAAAAGAGTGTCTGGTATATACTTGTAATAATTGCTCAGGTAAGTTTCTCAATTCTGTTCTTTTCTATGAAATGTTAACAGGGAAATAAGACAGAGAAAGATGTACACTATGTGACTGAGATGTGTGCAATCTAGTAGTTAAAAAAAGACAAACCCCCCCCCCCAAAAACAGGGTGTGGAGGGGACTGTATGAGGGTGAAGAGGGGACCCTGAGGCAATGGTAGAGGATAACAGGTACTATGGTGGAGGTGGACGGTCTGGTGTTGGAATGTTCTATGAATGTTAATGAGATCCTATCATTGTTAATGACATAAAATTATATGTTAATATCATAACTGTAGGATAATTCTATGTTAATGGTATGTTAATTGTATATTAATCATAATTGTATGTTAATATCATAATTGCATGTTAATATAATATCATGGTGCCTAAATTTTTTTTAAAACTCACAGAGAACAGATAGTTTCCAAAGATTCAGTGTGTGTGTGTGTGTGTGTGTGCGTGTGCACGCGCGATATGAATAGGTAT